TGTGTGTGTGTGTGTGTGTGTGTGTGTGTGTGTGTCCAGTGTGAAATCTGTTTTAACAATCATGGGAATCCTAAACTTGAACCAGGCCACGGCAGCCATAAAAAGATGTAGTCATGGGAACAGCAGAGGGAGAGCGAGGGAGGGAGGGAGGGATGGAGGGAAATAGAGTGACAGTGAGATGTTGCGTGAGACCAGGTTCGAGAGGAAGGAGAGGATGAGGATGGATGAAGAAACGAGGGATGATAGAGGGAGACAGAAGGAGAACGAGGACCGTGAGACTAAGTGGAGGAACTGGAGACACTCGATGGACAGAAACATTTTCCACGATCAGCATTAATTCAAAAGGTCTCTTTTGGCTTTAAAGTAAGTTTTTCACTGGAAAAAAAAGCCTGTAGCTCAGGAGGAGAAGTATCTTACTTTGGGACTCGTCATGTGAACTAACTGGTCTTCATTTAAACGTGTTGCCACATAAACAACCTTCATCTGCATAACAATGCAGAATATGTCGGCAACGAGACAAGACATGGCTGTTGGAAGCCTTCTGGTTTCCGTGTAGTCAGAGTAGTATTGAGGAGGAACACATTGGCAAAGAATCAGATATGACGCAACTGGTCTTATTTTGACAAAGAAAGTGTGATGGATTAATCACGTTGGATCTGGATTCTGGAGTCACAAAACACTCCACTTAGAGACCCAACAGTGCTTTCAGTAAAGGTCAACGTTACTACCGATGAGAAGCTTTACTACCTCTCTTTGCTAAGACGTGTCAGGACAAGCTCATGCGTAACAAATGGCGGGAGAGTTGGTTCCATGTTGTGCAGGTGTGCTGCTCTGCCACAGTGAGCCAGCGTGCACAACACTGGAGCCCTTTATCATCGGGACAGTTACACTTATCCGCAGTGAGAAGGGTCTTTTGGTACGGAGTAGGGATGACGATACATCTCGATGTGTCTGCGTAACTCAAGGGGGAGGACATGTCGTATTAAAGAGTTAGAGAGGATGAACATTGGTGATGCGAAGAGGAAGAAGTTTTGAGAAACAGAAAAGAGAACAAGGTTTTAGAAAAACAAATGAGAGGACATGACAGGAAGGAGAAAGACGTGATGAGAAACAGAGGGAAAACAGACGAGAGACAGAAATAGAAGAGAAGGAAGAGAAGAAAATGGAAAAGCAAAGTCAGGTCTAATGTATCTATTAATAACAGAGGAGGGAAGGAGAGTTCTCATGAATTGACAGTATAAATAGCCCCCCCTCATCTCCCCAGGGACAGACACTAATAGCTGTATGAACTGCTGTTTATAAAATACACTTGTTATTATCAGTATGTGATGTGAGCTTGTTTATACTGTATAAATACTGTGATTGTGAGAATCTAACTTGTCCTCATCTATGAAAAAGCACTCGTACTGTTCAGTATACAGTAGATGTGCACTGAAGCCATGAGGCTGTGTTCTGAAGTTGACGATGTTCCTCCATGTGTTCTGCTCAACGGAGCCTTTGTTAAGCTCCACCCACCTCAAGCTGTCAGCCCAACCATCACTCACTGCACTCCCCATAACTCTGTTCCTCTTTATTCACTGTTACAATCATTAAAGAGCAAGTGTACACATTCAGTATACCTTCAGTAGCTAGCGTAGCATAGAGGTGCTAACTCTAGTAAATGATAGTTCGGGTGAATGTACTCTGCTAATGTTCGCTCCACAGGTTTCTACGTAGAAGCGTTACGTTTCAGAACCTTTTATCTGCTTCAACTCTCCGTGTAACAAGTATCACTATGAAGGCTTTCACACCGGGCCATTGGCCAGTCCGCGTTCGAGGCGCGGGACTTGGTAAAGGGGAAATTACTGCCGCTGATTTTCCTTTAATAGCGTTATTACCTTGGTAACCATGGTGAGTCCAAGCAGGTAGCTGATGCTGCAGATGATAGCGATGAAGATCTCTCTGCGGTAACCCTTCCTTAGGAAGGACGGATACAGATCCACCAGTGATGTGATCTGCCCTTCCACCTCCACAAACTGCAGGCACACAGACACACACAGCGGTGGGATTACAGAAAGACAACAGGATGATAGCACCGGCAGCATGGCCTGCCATCTATACAAACAGCACGCTTTGAATCTATTGGTCAATAAACGCATCACTGATGTTTCATGACAGGATCTACTTCTCTGGTGTCTGAATTTGGTTGACTGAAGCAGCTTTAAATGAATTTACTCCGGGACGGTTGATGAGCATGTGATCATGTTCAGGATGTGTGGGTCGATGGCTGCACGTGAAGAAGTGAGGAATACTTTCTGCTGTTTTCTTTTTTAACGTTGTGACACAAAGTGGAGTGTATGAGTCCAATCGATCCTCAGTTGATCTTCATTGTAATATTTTTCACTGTTTTGATAATCAAATGATCGTTAAAAGTCATTTTTTTAATGCAAAAATGGCAGAAAGTGCTGTTCAGCCTCTCAAATCAGGAGGTGTCCCCGCTCTTCTGTTTCTTATGATATTAAACTGAATGTTGGAACAAACACACATTTAAAGACATCACCTTGGAGTCTCATTATTTTATACATTTCATAGACCAAAACGATTCATCTCTACACTAATCACAGTAATCTTTAACTCAATGAATCGTTGCTATCATGTGTGTTGTTTATTTTGTTAAAAAAGTTTATTGAAAAAAAGAAAATTAGTGTTTTGTTTGCCTTGAAAGTCAAATGCACAGAAACAGAGATTTTCATTTTCCACCAAGAAATAAAATGTACTGCAGGAGGCTTTTTAAACTCCCTTAAAGAGTAAATGGACTGTACTCGTATCGAGCTAGTCTTCCGACCACTTTAACACTACATGTACTACACTGACGGCGGGGGCTACCATGCAAGGGAACCGCCGATCCTCTCATTGAATGACGACCATGCTCCACCACTGAGACACAGTCGCCCCACAGAGTCTGAGCACAGGCTTCTGCCATCGGCCAGTGTTGTGCTTGTGGGAGCCTCAGTAACTTCCGCTTGCGAGTGCCATCAACAGTTCCTCTTAACAGCTATCACTTCCTCTTAACAGCCATCACTTCCTTTGAACAGCCGCAAATGTGTGAGAGTTCGTGTCTCTGCTAACCTGACTGTCGAGGCCAAGCAGCAGCAGCATAATGAAGAAGAGGACTGCCCAGACTGTAGGGAAGGGCATCATGGATACAGCCTTGGGGTAGGCAATGAACGCCAGGCCAGGACCTGCAGAGGAAGGGGGGGGGGGGGGGGGGGGGGGGGGGGGGGAGCAGAGAGGGGGGGGGGGGGGGGAGGCAACATTAGTATCACGATAAGATGATCTGATCTGCCTCCCTGTGGGAAGAAAACGCCCCAAACAATGGAGATGCAAAACCAGATGTGAATGCATGATCAAACCTGGGCTACAATACTGCTAATAGTTGTGTATTTATATGTAGCTAGTTTTTGCGAAAAAATAGGTATTAATAAGTGCGTCACACATCTTTACTTACCTGTTACTTCACTTGGTGTGACACGTCACTATATCGTGATATAATAGAGTATAATATGTGATGTGAATTATTCTGCACCTCTGTGGGAGTAAGTCATGACACCCGTAGGTCATTGTGGACATTCTATGAGATATTGAACCTATGTATGATCGATTCACCTTTCTGGGCGAATGAATGAATGAGTCAACTTCTAGAAAAGGTAAACCAAGTGTAACTTGTTGTTTTTTTAAATATAATTTAGTTTTTAAGTATGTCAACACCTACACCACTCTAGCCATTCTGCATCCCTGACTGAAGAAGGCATGATCCTCTCTACGAGGAATGCAAAATGGCCGTAGCAAAACAGCAGCAGATGCAAACTTGTATGTCAAATAAAAAGCAATGGCTTTTTTTATTTTTGTTTTTGTAGTTAAGAGGTTTAATTTGACGTTGATGCCACTTCACATTGGGAACTGTAAAACAGAAGTTAAGAAACAGGGAAGCAGCCGTAACAGCAACACAGCATTGCAGCTGATGGCAAGATACGGAAATATGTTCAGTTTTTTGTTGCAAAATATGACAAGGCATCCAACCAAACACCGCGTTGACTCGAAAAATAGGACCAACTTCCATTCTCTGAGAGAGGAAATGCTAGCAAGTATATTAAATCATGAAATCCACATCAGACAGTCTGATTAATCACTACTTGACTGTAAAGTACTACATATCGAAGCCTAAATATATCCTTTTCTTTTTGATCTTGGGTCAACAGAAGCCAAAGTCACTATAAGCTCCCGTGCATCAGCATCAAGCAGTCGCAGTTAAGGCAGACCTGCTTGTGATGCACTTTAAGTAATTCTATCCTTATGCTCATTGCACATGTCTAGTTCGTCTGAGATACACTTCTATTCTCTGGTAACCTGTGGAGCATCAACCCACTCGCCAAACACAACGTTGATATTGGATAATTCTGCTAAAGATTCATTCGGCACTGGATGTAAATTGGAGACTACAGAATTGTCCAATATTCGTATCGACTGGGCTGGCAGCATGGACAGTGTTTGAAGTTTTTAATTTGCTTTTGTCAACCTGGATGATCTCGGGGGTAATAGATGAAGACTGGGTCTCACGTAAGCATTTGATGCTAACATCATTGTAATCAGCAAAAATGACAAGTTTGTGTCTAATTTGATGTCAAACAAGATGTCTTCTGTCTTAATATGTCACCTTAACGTAGCAGAAACAAGTACAATCCAGAGAAGAGGAGATTCAAACTTTCCAAACAACAGCTGTCACTTGTGTGTTACCGCCTTTCTTTGAGGGAAATCTTGAGTGTATTTTTAAAGAAAGAGCCGACATTCATCTTTTATCCGCTTTCGAATGTGAAAAACAAGCATTTATGAAATCCTTGTGTGATTATATCGGAAAACTAGGCATGACTTCCAGCTTGAAATAGGCTATTTGTGTCTCCACACAAAGACAACGGTTGCATTTGCAGCCTCATAAAGTATTTATCAATAGACTGTACGCTGTGAGAGATATACTGTAAAGCCATGGACATGATACTGGGTACTTACCCCTTTGTTTTTTAACTGTGATACAGTCTTTCCTAACTGTGCTGACATGTTTAGTAGTTCATGTTAACCATGGGTTTTCGTGGTTTTGGGCCCTAACATGAACTACAAAAAGAGGAAGTTGCTGGTTCGAGAAAAAATTAACTTTTGTAGAAACAACGAAGAATACCACATGCCAATGTGTCACTCCGATAGATAGGAATCACAGCAATGGGGATGTCAGTCAATGATTAGCAACAACATTGGTTTTAAAACGCTGCAGTGCTCCATAATACAGCAGCCATGCCCCTAGTGGACACCAGGAGAACAGCATGATTTTGCTCCAAAGGCCAAACTTGAGAAAATTGTAAAAAATGGAATCAAACATGTTTGTACTATTATTCATTGGGTATTAATGGGGTCTGAGTGTATTTTAACTACAGAGTTTATAATAGACTTATTATAGGAGCTGAGGTTGAACTTCAAAAATTTGAAAAAAAAACAACTCACACCACTGCCAAAATGTATGCCATATGCATGAACACAGCCAAAATGATTGAACAATTCTCCGTTATGAGGCACAAGGGTTAAGCTGGCACACTGTCGCAGCATGCACCGTATCATAATATAGCTAGTTCTAAGTGTAAGATCATCTTTTAACGTCTCTCAATGTCTCCTTCTCTTGAAAACTGAAGTATTTTTCCCAACACCTCTCTATCTGAGCCCTAATACATCCAACTTGCTTTCCTTCGAATGATGCGCTAACAAACTGATCAGATGTTCATATTTGCTCACATACTGCTTTTGTCAAGTAGTGTTTGATTGCGGAAACTTCCATATTCCGATGCCGTCATTTGTAATTAATCAAGGAATCCATTTAATACCAAGTTCAATTCGTTTGGGATTCGTTGCTGTTTTTCTTTGTCATAACTGTTGTTTAATTTGTTAACCAGGAAGCAGCGCCCACCATCACTGCCGCCTTTACAGAACCCTCGTACCTGACTCTGCCACATCAGCAATGTCCACCCCTTGCTCTTGTGCCATGAAGCCCAGGACGGAAAATATTGCGAAGCCAGACACAAAACTGGTACCACTGTTGAGGGCTCCCAGCAGCAAACAGTCCCTATGTCACACATATGTCATGAGGAGGATTTGTTAATGAACACACAAGGACTCCCCTCTCTCCACTACCGCTAAGCCCCTCACTGAAAACTGATGCCTCACCTATAGCAGTTGTATTTGTACTTGTTGTAGCTCCCCAAGGAAGTCATGGCACCCAAACAGATGGCGTAGGAGAAGAAGATCTGGGTGCCGGCGTCAATCCACACCTGTGAAGGAGAGGGACAGAAAGGCTGAGGCCTGCTGCTGAGGGGAAGCACTGGGCATGAGTGATGCATGGGGAGGCTGGAGGTGGGATTTAAACTGCGTGTTTCCATATGATCGTCAAGCTCATTTTAAGTAAAGTTTTTTGAAATTTCGCTAAAAAGGACACGCAAATAAGGCGGTCATTTCTAGTTTCGAGGTAATAAACTCAGCTACAGCATAGTTTGGTCAAACGTTGGCGCTGTAGGCTACACGGAGAAGTTCTTTTTCACTCAGGCAGCACAGGGGCACCTACCTCTGGGTCCTTCAGACGAGCGAGGTCGGGGTACAGGTAGAACGTGATGCCAGCAGAAGCACCCGGCAGTGTCACACCACGAATCAACAGCACAATGAGCATGACAAAGGGGAACGTGGCTGTGATGTAGACCACCTGTGGGAGATCAAAATACAGGAAGACAAGGTCACACATTATGGAAAGACTCGATATCCTGCAGTTTGTATGATTCTACAGGGGAAGGCTATACCTTACTTGAGCTTCATAAATGGTCCATCTTGGCCATGACATGATTGTTCATTTGTTGTTGGTATATTAGCTAATATCTTTGCACTCGTGAGAGGGACTTGTGTTTGATGAGTGTGTGAACTCCTGGCAGCTGCTCTTGGATTATCACAAGCACAGACCACAGGCTGTCCCTTAAATCAATAGCAGTGTATCAGTGTCTGCTGTTGGAGTGCGGTGACCACACTTGGCCTTGCAGCAGTGGCTTTATTACAGGAGTTACAACTTGGAACAACCAGAGAGCATAAATCAGGCCAGACCAATCGATAAATAAGTTAAGGTTCTAAAAACAGCAGTCTGAGAAGGATTGAGCTGCCTCTAGTCTCGGGCGTGTTGTTGTTGTTGTTGAAAAAAGGTCTGATATGTTCCCTTCATGCAGTTATCCAATAGGCTACATCCATCCTGTAATACTGCACAAAGCAATGATTCTCATCAAGCTGTCAAAAGGAGACGTATGCGTACTGAGATGCAGAATTGTAATCCTCAAAAATGTTTCTCTTACATTTAGATTGTTGGTATCAGGAAATAAGGAAAGATTGCAGTAAGGACATGTTTGGGATTTATTTTAAAGTGTGCCCGTTACATAGTTTGTCCAGATAAGAGCACTGACAAATGTGTTTTTACTGTTGAACTTAAACTGTTTTAAAGGAGTCTGAAAGTCAGGTGACACATTTATGTGAGAAAATGCTGCAGATAATGTCCTGTTCTTCCTCATGAGAACCATTGCAACCTAAATGTTGACACAACTAAAACTCCTTTAATTACTCTGATTCCATTTCTGTTTCATTAAACGGAGAAACAATGGATTTAGACACTCAACATTGCAAGCACACACATTTGCTTCCGCCTCAGCCTCACCCAGGCCTTCAGATAAACTTCAGATAAATAATTTCCCTGAACTCAGTGTGAACATAGCCCCTATTGTTGTCTTGGTAAGACTGCAGTTAAAAAAAAAAAAAGAAAGTCATATGAGCGTCACCCTGTCAGGGTTCCCGGCAGTCATTATGAAAGCGGGTAATTCATTCGTGCATTCACTTTAAGTTCAGCAAGTTCAAGAGGAACAAACTCTTGTTCCAGCGCAAAACACAACTAGTCATGATAAAAACATAAATACAGGACAGTACAGGATAACAGAATCATGTGTTTACCTTGCCAGTGGTCTTCACTCCCTTCCAGATGCAGAAGAAGCAGATGACCCAGACGAGCAGCAGACACAGAGCCAGGTCCCATTTGACAGGACCTATATCCTCTATGCCATTGGAGATACCCAGCACGTTATGTCTGCAGCATGAAAAGGAAAGCTCTGTTAGTGTGTGGGTCCATCTGTACAACTCAGTCACAGCACTATGATCTCAGCGATTTCAAATGAATCAAGAGGGTGTATCACACACGAGGGAAAGTCTTTATGAGGGTAATGAACAAATAACTGATGTTTGAACTACTTCCTGTGTCCTATGGAGAGATAAACGGGTTTTCTTTGGCACTACCTAAGAACCCTTTAGTCTTTGACGGTTATTCCAAATGTGTCCAGGTCGCTTTATAGTCACTCTGACTACCAGCCAATCAGATCAAAGCGAAACAAAGCCTCTGAATTAAAGTTCCTTAATGTCTGCCCTGAAAAGCCTCGATGAATTAAAGTAAACTGGGGCCGCAACTAACAACAGGAAAGCTACCTCCCGAACATACGGCAAAATCGTGTTACTTAAAAACACGTCCGCCGCTACCATCTTCGAGTCCGTACAAGAGACGAGAGAGAGTAGAGAGGAGTGTTACACCCGGCCTCCAAATGCTCATTGTGTGGTAGAAGTATTCCTTTAACTATAGTCTGACTCATGGATGTAGACTGTGGGTATAACTTGCCATTGGCTGCGTATCTCAAGCGACACCCCCCACCCCCTTCTGTCATCTACACTATCTATTTGGAGAGGGCACCATCACTGCATCCTGTGCTTAGTACCACCCGAGACAGTTGTGATTCATTTAAAGAAATACAATCGAGCCAGAGCGTTTTGTTCCTCTATACCAGAATGATTCTCTTATGTAACTCACTCCCAGAACTCGGTGACGGGGGAGGTGAAGTTGGACAAGTTGGTGGCGTTGGCAGCCAGCCAGAGGGATTTGTTCTTGCGGTAGGTGTCCTCGATGCAGCGATCGGTGTTCCAGGGCTGATTGCACTTGGCCCAGGGCAGCTCCGGCTGAAAACACTGGAACCAGTAAAGAAGAAGCAGAAGTTATGATGGAGGACGGCTTTGGGACATTAACATAAGCACTGCTCTTTGCTTCAAGTTTGCCGGAATTTTCCAATTGGTCTCTTTCAATACTACATTACATGTTGTTGTTTTACAACACAGATATTACATGTTCATGATGTCTACTTTGCTCTGTTCCCTCACAAATGCAACATCATAAACCATTCTGCTATAGGCAGACTGAGCAGATATCTGTTTTAACCTATTATACACACATGCACTTTTTCTGAGCGAGCCAAGATGAGCTGTGAAGTTATTGATTTGAATTCTGTATGCTTTGACCCGATACACAAACACACACCTACACATACATTATGTACGCTCACACGCTACCTTTTTCAAGAGAGAGAGAGAGAGAGAGAGAGAGAGAGAGCGAGAGAGAGAGAGAGAGAGAGAGAGACACCCTTGATCTTCTTACTACTGCATACTGGGTATTTTGGACAGTGGATGGGCCAACTTTGAACAGATAACCTCTTGCAAAGACTGGGTCATTGTATTTGCTTTTGAAGCAAATGTGAAACTGATGTTTTATTGGACTTCATTTATTTTTCCAAAAAAAGGAGAGCTTGCTAAAGAACGATGTATTCCTTAAATGACAGTGCTACATTCTTCAGTGGATCAAAAGACGATGACGGGTTTAATTCAATCATCACTCTTGCGATCAATGATGCAACCTCTGCCAGCAAATAGCTTTTATATGAACCAACTTCACCTTACATTGTGTTCATCGGCTGGTGGGAAATTATGATTTACCTTTTCTCAGCTATGCATGACCCTTATACTACAACACTGACGTTCCTGCTAGCCAGTACGTAGAGGGTCAGAATGTCCTCATAAAATCCTTTATTTATGATGGAAATGAAAGAGCTTCACTTTATTGCCATCAGAGTTTTTAGTTTTTTTTCAAATGTCTTCCCACACCTACCTGGAACAGGTAGTAGAGGCCCCAAGCCAGGATGACAATGTAGTAGATATTCAGCAGGGACACGATCACAATGGAGGCGTAACCAATACCTGGAGAGAGGAGAGAGGGCAAAGTGACGACACATGAAGACATCAACAGTCCAGCGAGATGGCAACTAAAGGTCCAAATATGACGAACAGATAGCATTCATTTATAAGTAAATAATGTCCGAAACTACTGCGTCACGTCTGTATTCCTCTGCCAACCAATCATGATGTAGTTTAACATCCATGTGTGTCCAACATGTCATCACTGATATTTCTTTGGTCCCCAAGTGAAGGACTGATGAACGCGTTTGTTTGTACATTTTCCTTGAGAAACTGGCAGGATGATGCTTCTGCCTCCTCTGTGATGCTGTTCAAACCCCACAGAGCTGTATTATATCATCTACTGCACCTCAGACTACATTACATGGAGATGCGTTTGAAAAGATGTAAATCTGATGCAATAGTACAGCCATCAAAAAGAAGGTTTACGAAATATAGAATGAGAAAAACTCAAAAGTCAGTTTTATCTTCGAGTGCATTGGGCCTACTCAAGGTCGACAGCAATATGTTTTTAATTATTTAACCTTCAATGGTGTTACCCTGCTCTTAAATGTTGTTTGACGCGTCGGATCACACAGGAACAAGGATGTGTGTGTGTGTGTGTGCTCCTACTACACAAGCATAGAAAGAGAAGAAAATGGGAGCAGGTGTAGGAGTTGGGATTTGGGTCAAGATCTGAACATGGATTAGGTTTTAGGTAAGAGGTTAAGTAATGATTGTGGTCGTATAAGTATATTAGTGTGTGTGTGTGTGTGTGTGTATCAGTCAGCACACACCGCCGACAGAGGCCACTCATCCAAATTAATGTCCTTCAACGTCATTGGCCATCTGTGTGTGTGTGTGTGAGTGTGTGTGTAAGAGTGCTTACGCCTGGTCTTTATGAACTATCTGCATGAATTCTAGTGTGTGTGTGTGTGTGTGCGTGAATGTGTGAACTATTTGACCATCGCATCATGTCCTTTCAATCACTCCACTAATTAGCAGCTGCCACGAATCTACATCTTTAAATACACACACACACACACACACACACACTTGCTCGGATCACATGGAACAGTGCTGATCAAACAAACAGATGCGTCCTCCTCCATGATGTCATTTCTCGTGCTCGTCCGCTGACCTCGGCTGACCTCGCTCGCTCTGTTTACATCCACGCCCGATCCTTTTTCAACGCACATGAGCGGCGTGAAGAAACGCATCGTTTCACTTCCCAGGTGACGACAGTACCTTCGGAGGATCGAGACCGAGGGAATAACCATCAGTAATATTTAGTGGCAGCGTGATAAAACTATGTTGCGATGGCAAATCTTTCATTTGTGTCATTAACCTTTGAAATAACCACTCGTACTAACGGATCCGTTCTTATGCGGCTTGTACGAGTGATTTAGGAGAACTTGCCGCATAAGTCTATTTTCTCAAATTTTTTATTTTCTCTGAGGTACGAACACAATTTACGAAGGGTACCGGTCGCAAGAGTCACGAGCGATTGGTCTGCTGTTGCTCACGCCTACGTTTTCCACTAATGGATTGTTCATAAATTAAACTTCATAACGATGTTATCCTCGTTGACTCTGCAATTCAAATTATTGGCTAATATGATTCTCAATATATTCAAACAGTATCAAATATATAGATTGGCAATTGATGCTATTGTATAAAACTATAATATCAGTTTGGACATCTTAAATTATTTGAAGCCCCTCCCATTTCCGTTATTGATGGCGAGACGTTTCTTTCATACGGAACCATTTCTTCTGTATTTCAGTGACTCAGCACTCGTTATTTGTCCCCGTGACTCGGCTTTAGTAGGTCTCTTAATTCTGCTGCTAGCGCCATTAAAACAAATAAAGACTTTCCTTCTTGGGATCTCCAAAAGCAGGACTTCAATGTAGGACATGTGGGGCAGGGCACACAGCCTTATACGGTATTCATGGGTTTTAAATTGCAATTCTCATAAACACACAGGTGGCCTTCATCATGTTTACGCTGGTCATTTTCACAAGTATTTAAAGTTAAGAGCCTGTGTTGAATCTGACGTTTCATACTCGTACGAGCGCGACTTACAAAAACAATGTACAAGAAAGTTAGGATAATAATATGAAAATGTTCTTCCATGAGGTCCAATGTCATGAATATGCAGATATTAAATCAACTAGGCAATCAGTACCACACTTGTTTTGAATGGAAACCCCCAAAAAACAGAACTGACCTTCGTGGTACATTTCGATCACATCCATGAAGCACGACTAGGTGAAGGCCAAGACCCACATTATGATCGGTGAGCCAATTATGAATAATGGCGATTGGATCAAGTTTGACTGAGTCTGTTCCAGTTCAGATGATGAAATGGTGTGAGACCTGTCACACAGTGTGAGGTGTTGACGGAGTCTGTCTCAGTCCCTTGTTAGAATTCCTCTATTTGCCTGAATACCAGATAACATCAAGCGGTGGTCGTATTTTATTCCAGGACTCTACTTTCACGTATTCACTAATCTAATACCAACAACAAAAAATACATGATGAAATAATTGTGAAAATAAAGCAACGGTGAAGTGCAATGAGCTTTGATTGAGAGAGAGTAGCAGTTATTTTATAATCCACTTCATCAGCTTTCCATTCACCGTCTTATCCAAATTTGTTCTCCGTGTGAAGACGAACTGTGTTTATGATTAATGTTTCTGTTTTATCAAGAACGTGACTTTAGGCCATTGCCATGCGACACGACTCTTATTATAGTCTACCTGTGTGTTCTTAGTCATTCAATATGTGCTCCGCTCCTGCACTGAACACGAGTGTGTTGATGGAAACGGTTGTGATGTGTGTGGGGTATCTGGTCTCTGTTGGTGTCGATCATCTTTAATCCCGTTCCCGGCTTCAGGCTGACACCTGATAATTAGACTGAATTCTGTTTTCTCTGGATTACTGAGTCGTGACTTTGTGTTCGTGTTGCGTTATCCTGGTTCACTTTGGGGTTGTTTTCAGTAGTGACCCGTGTACAGTACCCGTCCTGTGTCTACCACTTCTGTCTGCACATAGGAACGATGAACGTTTTACATGTCGATAACAACAAAAAATAAATCGATTTGAGAGTTGATATTTCTGCGGGTAGAATTATTATTAATTAACTATCTGGCTGCACTGATCTCATCGGCGCTTCTGTTCGGAGTGGATCTGGATGGACGGGCTAAGCTCCGATTGTTGCTCTCGGTGGTTTTTTCAATGAGCACAACACGAGACGTGGGCAGCAATTCAGATGTCTGGAACCACATGTCTCCTTTCTCTTTCTCTCATTTCACATCAAACCCATAATGCTTCATTAGCACGACATTTATATTTACAAAATCATGTTTACAAGAAAGGTCTAGAAGGGGCTCTCTATTTTCTATCTCCTCTATCTACCGTGTCTCTACCATCTCTCTCTGTTCTTGCTTTAATCCTTCTGATTTTCCATTCCCTTCATTCTATCTCCCCTTCTCCGCCTCTCTCTGTTTGTCTTCCCTTCATTCTGCCTCCATTTTTTCCATGGCCTCCCTTCCTTCCTTTCTTTCTCCCTCTCTCCACCTTTTTCCTCGTCTTCATCAATCCATCTCATGCCTCCTCTGGCTGATCTGCTTCTTTTCTTCCCCCCCCCCTCTCTCTCTTCACCTCTCTGATGTGTTGCCGCGCTGTTGCCGTAGCAACGTGTGATTTGGGACACTCTGTACACCATCTCGGGCGTGTGTGTGTGTGTGCGAGACGGCGGGGGGGATAATGTGTCTGAAAGGAAGAAAGTGAGTGTGAAAGCGAGAACAGCGGCACGAGTAAATAATTAAATGGAGATAATGAGACGGTTACGCCGATAAAATGACTGAACTAAATGTACAAACCTGAGGTAAGATCAGAGAGGATGTTTATGTACGTTTGCACAAACAGAAAACCGACTGAGAGCAGATGATACGATGATGAATGCGTTAACCTTAATCAGCTGGCAGCGGACAGGAGGAGAGAGGGAGGTGAGAAGAACTGACGAGGGGAATGAACAAGGAGGGAAGGAAAGGAAGGCAGGAAGTATGACGGAAGAAGTGAAAGAGAAATAGAGGTGCGTCTGGGCAACACACACAAAAAACAAAAAAAACACGATTCACTCCGATGCCAGAAGTAAAATCATGAAATACATCTCGGAACTCTAAAGCGTGCTTTCTCAGGAGAGAGGAGGTTTTCACCGGAGAGCGAGGTGAGAGCCGGGGAAGGTTGGCGCTGAATAGAGGCCTCAGTGTGTCGGTGTACCAGTGCAGTGCCTGGTTGCCTGGTAACGGTTGCAGGGTAAAGTCTCAGCGCTCTGATTGGAGGAGAGTCTGGTGTGACTCAGCCTTATGTTGCACAGCCATTCCTCTGTGAAAAACAACAGAGGTCTGGAAAAATGTAAGCCCAGTAGTTGGGCAGGAAACGGCTGCTGATACCGGGCCGCGTGCTCATCAGTCGTTAAGTGAGACGCTGTGGGGGCGGGGCAGTGGGCGGAGCTATAAGTGGAGCTGACTAAAAACGTACCACAATTGGTTTAATCTATTAAATGTTTTTTTGCAGTGAAAAGCATATACCAGCCTGTAATATGTATGTAATACAGTGTGTATTCAGGCTGTTCTCACACACTTCGTAGCTGAGAAGTAATGCACTATAATTCATAAATAAACCATGTAATACATTTGTATGGGACCCACGTAAGTCGGTGTAGGGAGGAGGTGGGGTACAAAAGTGGGTTACAAAATCACCAGATTTTAACCCAGTAGACCATTGTTCATGTCCCGTGTGAAATCAAAAGTCACTGTTTACTCATTTGTGACGTAGCTGCTGTACTAAAGTAACCGAAACCGTCACTATGTTTGCCAAAAATGTAATGCTATACCAACAATCGATTCATATCACTGGGGACATACCTGTAAAGATGGGGCAGAGCTTCTCCCAGCAGGTGATGCCACCCTCAGAGGTGAACTGACCCAGGGAAACCTCCAGGAAGAAGACCGGCAGACCTCCGCCAAACAGGAAAATGAAGTAGGGGATGAGGAATGCACCTGGGTGGAGTGAAAACAGTCATTTTAAATGTGAAAAAAAGCAGATAAGCAAATCAACCCAATGAATAGATGAGGTATAACAACGCCTTACCTCCACCATTCTTGTAGCAGAGGTACGGGAAACGCCAGACGTTCCCTAAACCAACAAAGCCGCCAGCCACAGACAGAACAAAGTCCAACTTGCTGGCCCACTTCTCCCGCTGCGGATGTTTGCCCTCTGCCTCGTCTTCGGGCCGTGTGCCGGGGCTTTTACCGGGAGACGGCTTCAGAGTGTCCTTGTGGAAATCCTTCAGGCACTGAAGTTTCTCTTTTTGTGCCATTCTGTAGAAACAGGAGACGGAGAAAAAGAAAATCCAGTGAGAATTGGATCGAAATGAATCCCCTGACAGCGCAGCCTTTTAATACTGCTGTCAACACATAGAAAGCTGAATTGATTTTCAGACCCCAACAGAACCACTTGATGGTGGCTGGCTACACGCCAAAGTGGCTGGTGGACCAACCAATGATGCTCCAGCATTTGACTGGTGACTGGTGGTAGCAGTTTCGGACAACTAGGTTTGAAAGCTTTAACATGTGCTGAAAGAAGAGAGGAACAACTACATGATATTCCAGGTGTTCATGTAGTCTATTTGTCCTGAAAGCTCTTAAAATGATCCAACGATATATTCATAGACATATTACTTTCTACCCATACTTTGCTGACACCCAATTCAGAGGTCAGGGACATCTTCAAGATAGAGTCGACTGTACCCCCGTAGATACAAAAATACAATGTTAGTTTTAATGGGAATCACACTTGTGATGTTACAGTTACAGTTTCCCAAATATTAGTCTGTTGCACAAACAATATCTCCAAAAACCGTTCAGCAGAGTTCACTTGCAGTAAATGGAAAAAACAGCCCCAAGGAGTAAGGACGTGTAATGGTGATGTTCATGACTTCCAAGAACATTACAAGAGATTGTTTATCACTAATTAATTAATAGTAAGTATTATTAATACCTTTCTATTGCTCCCAAACTGCCAGAAGCCTGTTTCAAGGGTAACTTTGGTTCCTGGCAAACAAATTTAACTACACTTTTACCAACATGGATTGTCGATAATAGCTTCCATTAACATGTTCATGTTTGACTTCAGAACCCGTTCTTTACTGTAAGCCACTCATTACAACCTAACCCGGAGGGCTCTGGGACGAAGCTGATTCTTGTTGCTTGGCTTCTTTGAATTTATATTACTGAGGGTTTTGGGAGTGCGAGTGGAAACACATACACACACATGCAGGCACAGATAAATTAGCCTTCCCTGATTCATGTCAGCCGTTTTTGAAGCCGTTACGATATCATTACCAAGCCACAAAGCCACACATGTAGCTTAACTGGTGTGATACTTGTTACTACACGTATATAGCCTGTACTGATGGTATTGCAAGTTCAATTCCATTACAAATCTAAACAGATATAGCAGTTTATCTTCAAATGACAAATAAACAACACAAAAATGTAAATACTCTCCTGTGAATGTTTTGCATCACAACTACTCAATAGGAATTTCGCAATCGTTGCAACACTGCAGTCTGTCTGAGGTAAACTGTTTCAAATCTATCTGCCTTGAAGTAAAAGCTACAGCTAAAACAAACACACTTAAAATGTCCTTTTAATGGATTAAGTCAGGGCTCTTCAGTCTTGTATGTGTATGTGTGCAATAGGGAGGGAGAGAGAGAGTCAGAGGGAGAGAGACATACTTAGTAGTCAGCAGATGTCTGTCATTGTGGAAAATGTCATGTCTTTATCTATTTCCATCTAGCAGACTGCTGTAGCAGATCTTTGTCTCTCTCATTCATCCTATCCCTGACTTTCTGCAAGATACTGAAACGGGGCAGGATCGAGGACAAGATTACATTTCAGATGAATCCTTGTGTTTTCTGTCTGTTGCTTATATTATTTTCATTGATTTGTTTCCAAAAATGTTTTTACCATGAACATGTTCTAGACACAGAAGAAACTTTTACCTAACAAGTATTAAAAAAGGCTGCTCGTATATATCTGCAGAGAGATAAAGGAGAGAGACGTTTCAACTGTGTTTGGGGGATTCTTGTACAAATCCCTTCAACATTTGTTTTTCTGCCAGCAACCAACTGTACAGTACATCCGCCCTCTATCTGATAGTGCATGCAAGTATCCTTAAAGCTAGTTAATGATTTCACAAACACACGTACAGACACATTTGTTTTCATGACTAACTTCCTAGACAGTTAATTAATAACACTCAGGAAAATGAAAGCACTCGCTGTGTGTGTGTGTGTGTGTGTGTGTGTGTGTGTAAATGGAAGTATTTCCTGCTTGAGAAACAATGGACTCCATTATGTCCGTGGCAAACTACAGCGGTTGATATTAATGGCCAAGAGTGATATTACTTCCACTATAGAGGCGGACTGCCATTCTGATGTGAATAACAAAACCAGCTACAATTAATGAGAGATGAGAAAAATATCCTGCAACACTGGCTGATGCTCTTTGACCACAGAGAGAATGGGATCATTGGGACCGTTTATACGAGAAACACTTGAATGAATCGATTGTGGGTGAATTATATTTTTAGACAAGCATTAATAGCAGCACAAACTGTGATTTGCTTGCTTACACTGTATCACAATGCATTTTAGTTTAGCTTCCTTGTTTTGGTTCATTTTGGCACAGCATGCAAAGCAAATCTCTTTCCAATCCTACTGAAAACAAACAGGATGGACACCACTATAGAGTTGGGTGTCATCAGCAAAGAAATACATTCTCAAACCTTGCAGGTGGTGAATCCTAAAAAGTAGAGGACCTGCAACTGAGCTTTGTGGCACTCCATGGAAGCTTTTAACTCACTATAAAAGCTACCACAGAAAGAATGGGTGAACTGTATCAAATGAGACATCCACAGGCTTGGTTACATCGGGTCCAATGCGATGTCTAATCCATTTATCTCCACTGAAAACCAAGTGAAGGAAAAGATGCCTAAACATTACACAATCATCTCCACAACTTCAGCCTTAATCCCATTGAGCTCTTATCATTGTACCATATTTGGCACATTCAGCTATCTACAATGCATAACAATATATTTGTTCCTGAGCAAGAGGTAGAAGAGATGGGAGTAACAGAAGAGGATGATGGTAGTTAATGAGATCTATAATCGATACTGATGCACATTCACATCAAATATTAAATAAGTAATCTGTGTGTATTAATACAAATATATGTTTGTTTTGCTACTTTGTTTCTGCATCATCCTTCAACCTTGTCGAGTTCACAAAAGCGTTTGTGTAACACTTGTGTAACACATTTACAACATTGAAGACCTTTGCTTTACATTTGAACTTTGTACTATAAATTATTTTGGATAAATGCAAATAAAGTGCTTCAGAGCAACACTGTTATTTTTCCTAACATTCATTTACTTCCTCTCAACACTTAATATGCTATCATATTTTTCTAGAGGGTAAGCATGATGATGATAAATGTACAATAATTAACGTCTTGTTTAAAGTATTTTATTTACAGCTAAAACCAATTGGATATCGGGCTACAAACCTTTTGTATCAACGAAGAGTCAAGAATATAATAAAAACTGGGCAATGTGGTTGCAATCCTTTTTACAACTCAGCAATCGGCTACCCTCGACACTGTGTGAAGGATGCTCCAATGATGTGTTGAAGTGTCAACCAATCATACGTTTTATTTTCACCTTGATCCGTTCCATCAAAGAAAATGCTAAGGCATAACTACGTCAACAAGAGCTTGAGCAATGACACTGTAGCTTATCACGCCTGGCCGTGATGCTATTGAAACTTGTGTGAACGCAGCATTAGAAATAGGTTGAGGAGCTCAGCTATCCGTAAAAAGAACTTTGCATTGAAACTAGGCAGCTTAGGTATCTCAAGGAATCTGATGTTGATGCTTCTTGGGCACTTCCCTGTGGAGGTGCTCCACGCCAACCAACTGGGTGGAGACTCTGTGGCAGAACCTGACCCAAGGTGTGAAAGAGCTGGCGGACATCCCAGGGAAAAACAGACGCATGGTCTACTGTACCTTTTATTACTTTGCTGTCATCTCCTGCCACATGGACCCCAGATAGGCAGCAGAGAATGGATGGAAGTGAGCAGTGAGCATTAGCAGAACTAGCTGCTATGGCTAATCTACCAGAAGAACAGAGTGCCACCCAGAAAAGCTTCATCAGAAGACCCAAAGTAGAAGATGTCACCATACTGTTTTAAAGGTTGATTGTCGGACGAGGAATTTGCAGATTTTGTATTTAGAGCAAAGAGAGTTTGACGTTATCACAGTCATTAGAGAGCAGCGATACACAAGCAGGAAATGTTGTTGCACATTGCCTCCAGCGACCTCCAGAGAGCGAGACACGCCGTGGGAATCACGGTGACCTTTGGGACCATTTAAACCACAGGCAAAATTCTTGCTGTAAAACATAGAGACTCATTGTCTTGTGTGTGTGGGAGAGGCTGATACTCATGTAGTGACTTCAGAACCCAGCCACCATTACACACACACACACACACACACTTTCTAACCACTTATATAACACGCTCTCCTATTCTAAGACCATGTACATTTCCACTGGGCTGACCACCTTTTAATTCCACTCTCCTCCTCCACCTCCTCTGCCCCACATTTCTTTCACTCCTTCCTCTCTTTGAGAATCACAACTGATATTTTACTCCTCCAACTAGGCTCGGGCGATATGAAGAGATAATCGTTCAACACGATATTGGTTGGCCACGATAATGGGCCTCAAATGTCCAGAATAACTATTCTTCATTGCATTGTTGTAGCGTATCCAAAAAAGAAATGTAACAACATCCTAGCATAGCCTACGTGTCATTTATTTGTGGTTATATGTATAAAAGCAGTTCATGGTGCTGTTAGATTGCTGCTGGAAAGCCTCGTTAGTACAGTTTAGCAAACAGTTTATGACTTCTGTAAAAATGTTTTTAAAAAGGCAAAACGCCAACAAATATGGATTATAGGAGAATATTTAGTTCGATAAAAACGTACATTTTGGAAATCATTACATCCATCTTTTTTCAATAAATACATTTGGACTAGGGACTGAGATAATTAATAATAACAATTTAAATGTCAACACGAAAAAATATTTGAAGCTTTTAACTATTCGGTAGAGAAACAGAAAGAGACGGACTTATTGTGACTATGATTGTGTGAGAGAAAATATCGGACATGAAGAGAGGGAAATGTAGAGGGAATGGTAGACGGGCAGAGGGTGAAAGAAAGAATAGAGCTGTTAAAAGTTAACTGAGCAGAAG